GGTTTTGCACCTCTCCAGCGAAAGAGACTTCGCAGCCTCTCTGGGCAACCTGTTCCAGTGCCCTGTCACCCTCAAAGTAAAGAAGTTTTTCCTCATCTTCAGCTGGAACTTCCTGTGTTCCAGTTTGTGCCTGTTTTCCCCTTGTCACATCACTGGGCACCACTGAAAAGAGTCTGGCCCCATCCCCTCAACATCTGCCCTTTAGGTATTTAGAAGCATTGATAAGATCCCCTCTCAGTCTTCTGCAGGTTAAACAGACCCAGCTCATAAGAGAGATGCTCCAGTCCCCTCATCATCTTTGTAGCCCTAATAAATAAGTGGTGACAAACAGGGGATTTGCTTCAAAGGCACACTTTTGATTGAGATTAAAACATTAGTATTTGCCCCTATGTTTCCATTCATTGCACCAACAATTCTGTCTTAAACAAGGACATGTCAAGGACTTTTATATTTAACAAAAATGAGTAGAAGATTTAGTACATGGAACTCTACTCATTCTGAGAAGTGACATACATTTCATCTGAGTTAATCCCAGTGTTTTTACTGAAGTTCAAATCCCGAAGCCTCCATTCACAGCAGCTTTCTCTTTGAGAGGTTCTATTTTAATCATTGAAGTAATTTGCTGTGGAATGAAGTCTGTTGCTAAATATGTATAAGCTAAACTAATATTAAAAAGAGAAGAAATAAAAACCAACACAATATGTCATATTATTGGTAAAAGCAGTGTACCAAAGAACAACATTAAGGCAATGACAGGAAGGCTTTGGGCTTTTCTGCATAGTAATCTAGACCCCAGAAATTATTCTTTTATTTTTATTCCAACAAATTTATGCAGTGAGACATGTAGTCAATTTTATTGATTTACTACTTATTTAAAATATCTCCCAAAACCAGAGGAAAAAGTGTATGTGCAATTTGTATTTTGATTTGGATTTAAAAAAGCTGCAGACATAGATCTTGCTGAAATAGTAAAGATACAGTAAAGATTTGGTGTAAGTTAGCATTTTAATACTCTCTAATTATTCTTTATGTGTTACTCACGTAACTCATTGAAGCAGGATTTGCTGTGAAGTATGTGATGGAAGAGCTTGCACAAAGAATGCTCTGTGGGAGGTAAATTCTGGCAGGTGCACTCCATGCGCAGCATCGTGCCCCAGTTGCTAATGTAGGCTGCTTTGCAATCAGCACTTGCAGAACAGGGCATGTCACCCTTGATTAAAGTTTCAAGACAAGCTTTATCATCGTAGCATTTTTTTGTCACATGTCTCCAACACTTTGACTGAAATGTTGTGTACTTTTTCCTGGTGGGAAAAAAAAAAAGAAGTATACAATGACAGTTTAAAAACTTTGTGATTTCACAAAAAGACATTTAAGGATCATCATGAAAAGAGATTCCTAAGGTACCATTTAAGCCTCAAAAATCACAATATTCCATGATAGAGGGCCTTAATTCTGCTCTGATTTGCACCTAGTTGGTTTCAGTGAAATCTGCAAAATTGTAATTTGAGGAAAAACTTGGTTATACTGAAAAAGTTTTTGAGAAAAAAATAACTGCTCTTCTAATCAACACCTGTGGAGATTTTCCCAGGGTCCAGCAAAAATCAGTGTGAGTACCAACAGTCTCAGATCCTTAGAGAAGAAATGCTGATAGAGGAATTAGACCAGTCATCACAATTATTCCGAAACAGGTGCAGTTCTAGGGGATCAGTGTATTGGGTAGTGTGAAGGAAGAATGAATATGCAACTTATTTTACATAAAATAATCTACATCCAATGCCAACCCCTCTTCTCCCTGAGTGCTAATGAAATACAAAATGTCCAAGGCTCAGCAAAATTATAAGCAATTCAGCTGACCTTAAAGACTGATAGAAGGGATAAGTTACAAGAAGAATCAACTTGTTTCCCAGCTTATTAATCTCAAATTATTTCAGTTTATTTGTTTTTAGGATTGAATAAAATTGGTCTTTAGTGCACTATGTATGACAATGGAAAACATGTATTAAAAATTAACTAAGAAATCTGTAGATATTAATTAAAAACCAATTTATCACTTGCATTAAATGTTAGGGGATGATAAAGGTAAACTGTTGTTGTATATTGTACATTAACGCATTAAAACATTATTTCCTCAATCATAAAATTAGGCTATTAATTTACTGTTGATATTTTGTAGCTGTAACGAGCAAGCCCCATGGAAAAACATGGACCGTTGAAATACAAGTGAGGACTTTATTATAAATATTTTCATTACACAAGCAAAGATTTCAAAGCAGATGCCACCTCTGTGCTAATGTATTACTTTTATTCAGCTCCTGATTTATAGATATGGCTAGCCATAATTCACAGACTAATTTTGGTAATTATATCCACTTATTTTCAGTGCAAAGAAACATTAATGTACCCAAAATAATGAGTAATTCAGCAAGTCTCCTTTATGATATTACATGTGTACACATGCCCATGCACAGGCATATATTTGTAGCCCAATTCTTCTTGACATAAAAAGGGGCAATTCCCACTGACGTCAGTCTGAATAGCCTGCACAGAACTGAAAGCATCTCTTGGCCTCCTGGTTTGTTGACTGAAGGTTAATTTGAGCACAGCTTTGAGGTAAAATTCAGGTCTAATCCACAAGGGAAACAGTGACTACGCTAAAAATCAAAGCGGGCCAATTGACCTTTCACAAATGGAGGCAACTAAGTAGAACCATGAATATGGGCTAATCTCGTTGCGTGTTTTCTAAAATAAAATCAAAATCTGAGAAGTGCGTTATTCTTCATGAGTTTGGTGGTCTATGCATCTTTCAGGGAAGCTTTTTTTAGGTATCAATATGCTTGAGATGAAAAGATTAAGACAAGTTATCTGAACAGGTTGAGTTTGCTGTAGGACCATTGGGTACAAAGGGTCAGACTCTAAGGTGGAAGAGCTAATTACTTTAACCAAACAAACTTCATCCAATCTGCTCCACAATACGTGCAAACTGCTAGAGGGCAAAGGTGCAGACTGGCAGGTGTTATCTGAAGAAAGTGGTAATGAAAATGCGCAACAGCATAGTTTATCCAGCAGAAATAGTGTTAAGAGTCATGAAAGAAGCAGAAGCAAAGCTCACACTAGATTGGGAAATGAACCTTTTAGTTTTACTTGTGGAATTACCACAGCTGATGCAGACATCTGTGAAGATGTCAAACACAAGTGATAATATATAACAGATAAAGTGCAGAAAAAAAAAATGTTATAGATGATGTATATGCCATATATGTAAAAATTATTTGATCAAATCCTTATTCATAGGCATATTACTAAGCAAAATCTCTCTTCTACTTGCCTGCACAATTCATTCTCTTCACACATGTGTATTGTTTTCAGACACGATGGGGGTGGAACTGCAGTAACTGCACAGGGCTTGCCATGGAGGAGTTCTTTGGCTCTGTGACAGGATTCATCAGGCTGATTACAATCACAAAATGTCATAATTTGGGCAACTTCAAAAGGCATGTTTTGATAGAAGAACCTGATGGCTGCTTGACATTCTTCCATGTTGCACTTCTTATTTACTGAGCAAACCTTAAGGTACAGGGACAACTGTTTGTTACATACTTCATCTTCAACACACTCCTTGTTCACATCCAAACAGGTCTTGTTTGCTGTGTATGCTAAAAAGAATAATAGTTTTTAAAATGAAATCACAAGAAAACCTTTCTAAAATGTTGATTGGTAGTCATTCTGCCTGCAACATTCCCATTAAAAGCAAGTCTGATTTCCCAAAACTCTGATCCAGCTCTTCCAGAATTTAATCTTTTAAGTTCATTGAGTGATCTTCATATTTCTCCTTATACTTGGCCCTCATAAGCAACCCTCCTGCAAGTTACTGCCAGATAAGTGAGGGAGAAGAAAGTGAAAACTGACAAGACTGACCTTGTTTTCATAGTACGTGAGAGTTTCTGGGAGCTAGTGGCTAGTGGATACCTGAAACTGCTGAAATCTCTAGCAGGCAGTCTTATGTTAGGCTACATAATAACTGATGGTGAAGAGAACACCAATGGCATTTCTAGACCCTTAAAACTAGTTCAAGGATTTCTACCTTATCCTATAAACCTCCAAAAAGACATAGATAATTCTGACTCTAAAATGTTTATGCAATAAGATTGTTACCTGACATTTTTTAATTCATAGCTACCCAGTAGCTTAACTGAAAATACGTTGGATCTATTGACTCCCTACTCTTCAGTAATTTGAATGAAAAGTATTCATTTTAATCTTGTGATACATTGTACACTATCTGAAGACAGAGCCAAAACTCATTATTAGTATTCACAAGCAAATTCAGAGTTACCTTGTTTGGAGAGGGCAGATAAACTCCATTGTAATTTTGTTTCTGTACTAATATTGTCTAAAACAAAAAGATATGGTTACAGGCATAAATGATAAATCATGTCTTAGCTTAGTTTTTAACTTTAAAGTGTTGGTTGTGTTGCTGACATAGTGCCAGCAGTAAACAAGAATAAAACAAATTATCTTGACCAATAGTAAAAATAAACAAGAATAAAACAAATTATCTTGACCAAATAGGACCTGTCAGCTTGTTAACAAACTAAAAGCGTTATTACATATATTCAAAAGTTTTCAGGTGAAAGCACATATCAGTGGCTGCTGATAACTTTCTCTGTGTAATTATAGATCCTGTGAGCTCAAGAAGAGTTTTTAGAGGTGCTCAGTGCAGTATAAAGTCAGGTTTCCTGTAAATAAATAAAGGCCAGAGGCATTAATGTGTTCATCAGTGCACTCAGTTTTCATGCTCAGCTGCTTGTTCCAATCTAAAGTCAAGGTAGGCAAACAATTCTTGCTATTAGAAAATTTGCTGTTATAGGTCTTACATTGTTTCTAGTTATAGTGTAATACTAAAAGGGGCTGATTTGGATCAGATTGTGTCAAATTAACACGTTGAAGGACAGTAGTATTTGCACTCAGGCTATCATTTTGCTATCACATTATTCATTTGCATCTAAATGATAGCCTTTTAAAACTATCCTGTTTCCAATGTTAAACTGCAAATATTAAGAAAACCTTTTGTACTATATGTATGAAAGCATTCAGACTGTTGGAGTACCACTAACCTGTGTCAGTGTCCTGATTTTTCTCATCATCAACATCCTCATTATCATCGTCATCATCACCATTTTCACTAGCTGCTGAAGCTTGGCCCTCTTTAGAGTATTGTAAACAAAGGTTGTTAAATATTCCCTTCCATATTTTAATGCATCGCATCTCAAGTGGCGCTGAGCACTTGCACTCTCCCAGCACTGTTTTCCTCAGTTCTTTCCATGCTGACAAACATTCCTGGTTGACCATCTGGAGTCTACATTTTGCTGCGTCCACCTGGCATGCTTGCTGGAAGCTCTTGTACACTAGAAAACAGTAAGGGTCTTCTCGACAGCGTTGTTTTGTGATGCTGCAGTCATTCTCTAGTTTTTCTGGGTGTCTTTGGTCTCTGGAGCTTCTGTGTTGCCTAAAACTCAGTTCAGTACCTGATCTTGAGGAAGTTTCCAAATATCCTGTACAAATAGGTACAAACAGAAATCTAAATCAAAGGGAGGATGGAGCATCATCACTGTCAGCTCAAAACAAACTCAGGGAAATAATGGTCTTAATGCAGTAAAATGAATGAAACAGCCCTAGTTTAATTCTAAACTGTATGTAAATGCATAATAGTTTCAGAGTCTCGCAGACTAATGAATCTTCGTCATGCTTACTGAGCCCTGGTAGCTGTATAATACAGTCTACTCTAACAATTCATCTCCTAACAGTAGTACAAGAAACTCTCACTAAAATTACTGCATAAAGAGATGAATCTCACATAATTTTAACCACCTACAGATTGGACAGATGATGGATTATCATCTTATTTCAATGCATAATTTGTAAAGAGAGAATGGCAATTCCAGAAAATGGTTCATTTATTACCTAAAATCGTCATTTAAGATAGACAAGGAGAATTACTCCTGAAAGTATCTACCAACAGCATAAGCTATTATCTGTAGCTAAGACTGATACTAGTGTAACTCCATCCAAACTTCTTTTTTATACTAGTGGGAAATGTAATCTCAATCAGTAAAAAATATAAAATTGCTTCGTTTTGCTAGAAGCAAAAGCAACTGTTTCAATAACCCACTCTTCTTGTTTGGGGTAAGGAGTAAAGGATCAGGATGTTATCATCTCCTCTGGAATAAAGTCATATATTCTACTGTATGATGTACTCTGATGATGCCAGCAGAGAGTAATGCACTTGCAGCCCAGAAGGCCAACTGTATCCTGGGCTGCATCAAGAGAAGCGTGGCCAGCAGGTCGAGGGAGGTGATTCTCCCCCTCTACTCCGCTCTCGTAAGGCCCCACCTGGAGTACTGCATCCAGTTCTAGAGCCCCCATCACAAGAAAGACATGGACCAGTTAGAACAAGTCCAGAGGAGGCCACGAGGATGATCCAAGGTCTGGAGCACCTCTCCTTTGAGGACAGTCTGAGAGAGTTAGGGCTGTTCAGCCTGGAAAAGAGAAGGCTTTGGGGAGATCTTATAGTGGCCTTCCAGTACCTGAAGGGGCTACAAGGAAGCTGGGGAGGGACTTTTTACAAAGGCAGGTAGTGATAGAACAACGGGAAATGGCTTTAAACTGGAAGAGGGTAGTTTTAGATTAGCTATTAGGGAGAACTTTTTGACTGTGAGGGTGGTCAGACACTGGAACAGGTTGCCCAGGAAGGTTGTGGATTCCCCCTCCCTGGAGGTCTTCAAGGCCATGTTGGATGAGGCTTTGAGTAACCTGGTTTAGTAGAAGGTGTCCCTGCCATGGCAGGGGGGTTGGAACCAGATGATCTTTAAGGTCCCTTCCAACCCAAACCATTATATGATTCTATAATTCGATGCTCACTGCAGGGGGATTGGACTAGATGACCTTTAAAGGTCCCTTCCAACCCAAACCATTCCGTGATTCTATGATCTCTATGACTAATATTCTGTGGGTTTTTTTAATAAAATGAGAGAGAAGTTAACATAAAAAAATGCAGAAACCTTAGTTTTCCAATTCAGTTTCAAGCTCTTTGCTTGCTTGTGCCCTTGGACTCAATGCCAGAGAGACTTACACAGGCTGTCAGATCATATTTTCCTTGTATATGTAGCAAAAATAAAAAGCATCTACTAGTTTGTGTACAAAGATAAATCAATCAGCCTGCTACTTTATGGACTAATGGTTTTAGAATTATTTCATTACTTATTACTGCTTAAGAAAGTTACAAGTGCCTTAAGAAAGTTACATAAGAAGCAGTTTAATACCATTTAAGAAAGTTTTATTTTGAGAAAGCCATAGTCAGCTTTGTTAAAACAGGTACACTGGCCCTCAAACCAGCACATTTCCTCCCTTTGCTTCATGAATATTAAGTATCTTGCATTACGTAGCATAAGGAATACGTGGCTCACAAGATCCAGACTGGTCACGGGGCAGCACGAGGATCTGTGTTAATCTGCTGACCATACAAGCTGTTGTCCCTGCCCTGACAAGGGTGACCTTCGGCTTTCTGCCTTGCTGCTTCCCAGGTGACTAGCATGGAGCAGCAGAGACCGTGTGCTCTAGTAAAATGACAAAGCTAGCAGCCATGTGTCACAGCTGCCACGGACATGCTTTGATGTGATTAGAGCTTTAATGTCATTTATATGTTGTTGACACAAATAGCAGCGGAATGCAGTCTAGGCAAAGGCCTGCATTTTGCCTGTGCTTGAAGGAATGAGCATTAGCTCTTCCAGAGCACACATCCCCATCCCGCCACCCCAAAATCCTTTTTCACACAGTGTCTGCATTGCCCTTTCTCCAGTTGCTGTCTGGGCATGTATTAAAATGTGCCCTGCTACAGGGGTATGTTGCAGTCCAGCAAAAGCTACAGCTCCCAGCCTCTGTTCCTACTTCACCTCTTCTATCAGCGAAGGAGGATATCATGTTGCCCAGGGTTGCCTATACCTCTCCAACCCCATCTCCAACTTGCCTTCTGCATTTTTAGAAGTAGAACATGACCTTGACCCTTAGCCCTCACATTTCTTTCTTTTTCTAGTAGCCAAGGAGCTCAGGAGATCTAAATAGGAGCTACTGAAGGTCATAGACATAGGACACTCCCTGACCATAAAGACAGGATAGAAAGTATTCAGTGACATGGGAACTATGGAGGCTCATGGAGGTGGGGGGATGGATATTCTACTCTATATTTTTATCAAGTGAATAAGGGTTAATAAGGGATAATAAAGGCATTTTCAGGAGACAGTTTCAGGAGGACAAATTTCAGGGGGAGAAAAGGAGCAACAAAGATCAGAAGGGGCTTGTGTAAAAATTAGCTAATTTACAAAATTTATGACTGCTTTCTTCAAGGTCCTAAGGACACTTCAAAGGTGGAGGCAGTAGGGATAGGAGAATAAGAAGCATAAATCCCACCACATTTCATGCAGCACTCCAGCCTCACTTAGCCCATCTATCTTCGTGGCACTGACAAGCTGTGGTTAGGAGTCAGGTACAGGGCCCATGCTCAGAGTGGCCCATTGTGCTGTGAACACACTGCACTGAATCACAGCAGCTGACAACCCGGGGGTGAGACATAGGTTGTGGGGTTATGAACATACAAAGGGCATAGACAGAATCAGGAAGCAGATCAGATTTATGGGGTTCACTTGCCCATCCTCTTGAAAACTGTGTAGAAATAACCTATTATCAGTATTGGTCTGTTTGTGCGCTGTGTTGATTCAGCTGTGATGAATGGCAGAAAATATTTTATTGCTGGTTTTCAATTACTGTTGCTTTGTCATTGATTAGTTCTAGGTAATATATTTTAGCTTATACATATGCTTCCAAGGCATTTACAAAAAATGCTCTCTGACTTAATGCTTGTCAGCCATAATTCATAATTTGATTTATTTTTATGTACATACTTTATGTACATGGGATCATAGATAGAAACATGATAGAGTGGAAGCTGACACTTCCAGGGTAATAATCTCTGCTCTTGCACCGTCAGCTCTTCAGTCACCTCAGTGGGAATCACATCTGAAGACAGCAGAGAAGAATACTGAGTTTTCCCCTCTAGCACTGGTGAGACCACATCTGGGGTGCTGTGTCCAGTGCTAGGTTCCTGAGGACAAGAGGAACATGGGCATACTGGAGTGGCTCCTGCAAAGTGACACAACTGTGATTAATGAGGAGAGGCTGAGAGCTGGGATTGCTCAGTCTGGAGGAGAGAAGGCTCGGGGATGTGCTGATACACATATCTGTGTGAATAAATACCTGACGGGAAGGGGCTGAATAAAGCAAGGACATACTCCTCAGTGGTATCCAGTGACAGGACAAGAGGTACAAACTGAAGCACGAGAAATTCCATTCAAAGGTCAGAAAAACCTTTTTTACTATGAGGGTCATCTAACAGTGGACAAAGTTGCCCAGAGGCATTTTGGTGCCTCTGTCATCGGAGATATTAAAAATCCAACTGGACACAGTCCTGGATGACAGGCTGCAGTTGACCCTGCCTGAGCACAGGTGTTGAAGTAGATCTCCAGAGATCCTTTCCAACCTCAATGATAATTTTCTCTAAGAAAAATAAACTCTTACTTCCAAATCGAATTCAAAATGTGATTCCTTAATACTTACGGGTACAAGCTGGAACACAGGAGGTTCCGCTTAAACTTGAGAAGAAACTTTTTTGTGGTAAGGGTAACAGAGCACTGGAACAGGCTGACCAGGGAGGTTGTGGAGTCTCCTCTGGAGACATTCAAAACCCTCCCTGGACACCTTCCTGTGTGATCTCATCTAGGTGATCCTGCTCTGGCAGGGGGATTGGACTAGATGATCTTTCGAGGTCCCTTCCAATCCCTGACATTCTGTGATTCTGTGAGCAACTTGAGATTTTTTTTTTCTTTTGAACCCAGATGTTTCCAGTTCTGAAAAATTAAGAAAGGGTATACTCATGGTTAAATCAAAGCTCAGAAATTTCTTTCTTTTTTTTTTTTTTTTTTTTAAATGAGTGAACTGAAAGAAGAAAAAAACAGCAAAATCCAAACCTTAAAGTCTTCATTCTGCAGTGATGAAACATTTCTGACATTACCAAAGTGAAAACTTTTGACTCTATCAGAATTAAATATTTCAGTCTTCTTCATCCTGATCTGGAAGGTGAAATTTTCACCTTCTTTTTTCAATGTGTCTTGGCACAGAAAAGGGAGTGAAAGAAGGATTGGACGCAGAGAACTATAAACTATGACTCTGAAAATGCTCCTGTAGTAGCAGGGGAGCAGTGATGGACAGTTTGACAGAGAAAGGAGTGACTTATGCAGGCATCTGGAAAGTGCCCCCTGACCTGTTCTGAAGAACAAAAGGTGGAGGTCCTGATAATGCACACATTTAACTTGGAGGTAATAGCTTGAGAAACTGAGTTATTGAACTCATACCACAGAGTAGGAGTATAATTATCATTTGTGGTTAGGTTTTTCAAAAAGAAACCAGCAAAAGGAGTGTGTGTCCCATTGCCTGTTGCCTCCAACTAACATGACCCTGCTCATTCTTTTCCATCCACACAGCTCATCCGTGAAGTTTTTAGTCGATTACTTTTGACAGATAGTATAACATTATTCTTACTAATAATGCTGCTGGTAGATTTTCTGCTACTGTTTCTGTGGGGCCTCTGAGAGGTACCATCATCTGTCTGATTGTGGGTTTACACCCTGTGGGGTCATGGCACCTAATAAACACATTTAGAATAATTTGTCCTAGACACAATGCAATATCTGAATGCCCTGAAGTGCTGAAGAGTCCTTGCCAAAGGCTATCATCCTAAGGAAAGATACAGATGCAAAAACAAACAAGCAATCACAAGAAGGGTTTATTTGCAGCAGGTTTCTCGGACCCAGTTACAAATACTATTAATATTGGTGAATAAGCACGTAGGACAGTAAGTGAGGGAAATAGAGTATTATGGGACAACACAATAAATCCAAAGGGGAGATCACAGAAATCATTATGCTCGCCCACTTCATCTGATTGTAGGGTATGATGAAGAAAAGGCTATAGTGCAAATCCTGACCTTTATGTTAAGTATTGGTGCTTACACCTTTGTGAATTATGTGAGAGAAACAAATTCAGCTTCTGATTTGGGGAAAAGATTTGGTTCTAGAGAGCTCATCTTTAGGTCTCTACTTGAGCCTGAAAGTACTGCATATTCTAACACTTTTTTTCAAACAGCAATCATATCTTTTGAAACTGTTCCACTTCGCATAAAATATTTAAAAATTCAATAGAACATGAGCTGAAATCCAGTTCCTTTGGGGACTGTTATAACCATTAGGATATCATGTATTTTTCATTTAATCTGTCTGTTCTTAAAAGTATTCAGCCATTTGATGCAAAACAGATACATATCTGGAACAGGACACACTTAGAAGGACCCCTCAAAGAGTTTCCTGCTCTAATTATTTTGAATACTGCCTTGTGACTTGGGACACTTGAGTTCAAATCTCTGCAACAAATCAGAGAGACAGAGGCATTCAGGTAGCTCACACTGCAGGTGAATGTTCTAGCAATAGGTTATTGAGGATGAAGTCAGGCAGCAATTTCTGACTTCCCACACAGACCAAATGTGATACTGGATCCTGACGGCAAGACAGACAGAGGGAAATTCACTTTATCAACTCTACTGCAGCTGGGGCTCAGAACAGATTATGGCATCAGAACATGTCTGATTTTGTTCAGATAATGTCAATATTTGGAGAAGGTAGGTTTCCATGGAGATATAGAAACCTTTGACTCCCGGAGACAGAGAACCTACCCTATGTAATTAAGTTGCTAGAAATGTCCGTTGTGTACCTAAATACCCTTGGCTACATGTATGAACAGGACCAAGGCATGGGCTAGGCTAACAGCAAGTGGCTGTGTCTATACTGGGTCTCTTTAGCTTGGAGAAGAGGAGACTGAGGGGTGACCTTATTAATGTTTGTAAATATGTTAAGGGCGAATGTCAGGAGGATGGAGCCAGGCTCTTCTCAGTGATGCCCAATGGTAGGACAAGGGGTAATGGGTGTAAGCTGGAACACAGGAGGTTCTGCTTTAACTTGAGAAGAAACTTCTTTAGGGTGAGGGTGACAGAGCACTGGAACAGGCTGACCAGGGAGGTTGTGGACTCTCCTTCTCTGGAGACATTCAATACCCGCCTGGACACCTTCCTGTGTGATCTCATTTAGGTTCCTGCTCTGGCAGGGAGATTGGACTAGATGATCTTTCGAGGTCCCTTCCAATCCCTAACATTCTGTGATTCTGTGTGATTCTGTGATACTGCTGTGCTTTTGCATGGCACCCAGTCTGGACTGAGTCAGCTAGACTATGAAGATAGCGTGGGCCTGGAGTCACTCCCAAAAGGCAGTCTTGCGCAGCCAGTGTGAGGTGAAGGCAGTTTAGTTGTATGGATACATGCTGCCCCATGACAGTTGAACTCAGGGGCAGAAAATAATCCCTGGCTCATTTGATTTGCTAGGCCCTTGACATTTATCAATCAACAAAGCTGTCATTACTAGCTTGGTCTAATGACACTACCACACTTAGGATGAGTTTCAGGTCAAACTTATAATACTTGGTCTTCCCCCACTTAAGACATGCTTTACCTGGAAATGATGCACCGAGCATTGGGAGTGTAATTGAGACAGAGACTGATTTTCTGCTTTCATTTATGTGAGAATCTGTTCAGCAATTCAAGGAGGCTCAGTCACATTGTAACCTGCAGTTTGTCATACCAGCACTCTTTGCGAGTGAATCACTCTAACACTGAGGAAATATTCACTGAAAATGTGCTTCCGTACAACACAACTTTCTTTGACACATGCTTTATTTGATTTGTTTCTTATTCTAAAACAATGTTTGAAAATTACTTTAAAGTAACTACTACATTGTTTTGGATATCGTGCAAGATCATAGATCAAAGAATCAGAGAATGTTTTGGGTTGGAAGGGACCTTAAAGATCATCTAGTTCCAATCCCTCTGCCATGAGCAGGGACACCTTCCACTAGACCAGATTGCTCAAAGCCTCATCCAGCCTGGCCTTGAACATTTCAAAGGAGGGGGCAGATCAACTCCTCTGAATTGTGGAGAGCAAGGTTGAAACTTTTTTCCAGCTGCATGCAGGCTTTGTTTAACACAATCCCACAAGAGCATAATTTATGCTGAATTCAGACTTCTTGAGTTGGTTCAGACTCTGACTTTGTTCATAGTCCAGAAATATCATTTATCACCTTATTGAAGAGACAGTGTGACTGCTACTGAAAATAGTATTGGCTGTTGTCAAGGATTTCAAAGTTGACTGTCTTCTGCCATCATTTTCTCTTTGAAATCTCACTGGCTTCATTCAGTTACCAAAATCATACTGTGACAAACTACGAATATGCAACCATTCAGCAATTCAAAATAAACATGTACATGATAAAGAATTACCTGAAATATTGCAGACATCTTCAACAATATTCCAGACACTCCCACATCCATTTGCAGCATTTATACATTGCTCCCTCAAGTGCAGACAGTCAGCAGTCTGGGCAGCCGATGTACTTGTGAAGTACATGAACAACACTAAAACCAGAATATAATGACTGTTAAATACCACAGATATTGTACTGACTTTTTTCATTTACACTTATAATAATATGATTTACTGTAGTTTATCTATAGATTCCCATTTTCTACCAAGTTACTTTTTAAGAGAATATTTTTCCTCAGTTTCACAACCGGAACATTACATTTAATTTTTCAGTTTTCAAAGTTACAGTGTGGCATGTTTTGTATTGTTTTTAGCCCAGTATTATAACATCAGCCAGAGCTATAAATGACTTCAGTCCATAGATATATAGAAATTATTGCAGTTCTGTGATCCATAATAAGTTATAGAAGGAAGACAGTATAAAATTCAGAGGAAGCAACATTTTATTTGGACTGCAATTTTGTCAAGCTAGAGACTACACAGGAATTCCTATTAATAGACCATGTGAAAGAGATTTGACAGCTACACAACTGTCAGATATTAAATGAAATTTTATTTCATAACACAGTACTCTACTTCACAGGTACATCATTTCTTGAAAGCAACCCTCACATTTATGTCTTTTTCTGCTTTCCTGAGTACACTGAACCTAATGGCCATGTTAATTGCACAAAAAAGTTCTGAAACTGAATGCTGATATGGAGGTTTCAAGGTAAAGAATTCTAAATCATCACCACCTCTGGCTTATCAGTAGAAAATTGAATAGCCCTGCTAAGAAAAAGACAAATCAGTTGGGGTTTAGCTCTTTCATCAACATTCCCATGGTAACAAAACCTCTAATTTGTAACCATGAGTCTTAATTTTCTATAAAATTAAGTTTCAGACACTGATTTCAGGCCTTATCAAACCAGCTGCTGAACACCTGATGGGAGTGTTTTCCTTAGGTGTTGAAAGACACAGCATCTCCCAGACCAAGTCTCCTTTTTTTTTTTCCCTTATGTTCAGGAAAGTTTATATGGAATTTGAGGAATTTCCAGCACTGTTTAATTCCTTAAACATCATCTGAAAGAGGCAGGAAATACTCTCCCAGGACTTGTCCAGATCCTATTGAGAGAAATGAAATGTTTCCAATGATATATTTGAGAAATAAGAAATTAAATATCAAATATTGCTCTCAATAATCTTAAAGAGGCACTACAGTTTCAATACAGTAGTGTTGCCATAGGGAACACTTTCTGGATGCAAGTTGACAAAGATGAAGCAATATTTAATACTTTATAACTGACAGGTGCAATAGCATCTAGTGTGCCTCAGAGATGCAGAAGAGGCCACACGTGCTTACCACAAGAAGATGAATGAAGCTGGTGCTAATCCTTTCCCAGTTGTGCATGTTCCTGCCAGTTCTGAGATCTGTGCAGGGTTGGTTGTGAGATCAGTGATTTCCAGCCTCAAACACTCTTTAAGGCTGCTTCCGTCAGTCATCCAGGAGACTGACCGATAGAAACGGCTCCTGCCCCTCCACATGGAGGAATGTGCAGCTGGCCCATCCAAAGGGACAGTTTTGGCGCATTATGAGGTTTTAGTCCTGGGACTGTCACAAAAAGTTCTTTCTAGTTGTGAAATTATTGACTATTTATTCAGAAGACAGAGAAAAAAAAGGTTGCCATATACCTTACAGGTGAAAATGACTACATGTACATATATATATATAAAAAAGACAATGCAAAATTACACACCCAGGAACTTTTAAAGAAAGGATATTTTTATTTGGATTACTAATTGCCTGTTTTATAGGTACTAACACAACAGAAGGTTTATGCATCTGATTAGGATCCACAGCACAAACACTTTGTGCTGTCTCCCTCCTGTTAAGATGACTTTTCAGAACCAGTAGCTGAAAATGAATAGTAGGCCTGATTAAACAGCCAATTATCAGCTTCTGCTCCTTTGTAAGGATTAGTTCTGTCTGTGTTTATTTCAAACTCACCTGGAAACTGTGACCACAAGAAGGAGGAGGTGTTTTTGCAAAATAAAAAGCCAAGTGGCATAACCTATGACTGAAAGTAATTTAATCTAAGAAAGGGCTTCTCCAGATCTAATGACTGACTATGGACAGGTCTTTTGTTTCCTCAGCAGCACACAGGGGGCATATTGTGGCCAGCCTACATGAAACTAAGTGGTCTATATGATTTTAGAATTGAGAGCACTGTAGCTTATACCATTGCTTACACTGGTAGCTATTGCTTTATTCATTCACTTTAGTATTTGCTCCAGTGTTTGGGGTACTCAGCAATTTTTTTCTAGCTAGAAGAGTTCAGGGTATCTAAGAGTTAGTTTGTAGTGAAAACTTTCGGAGGGATCCATTTTGATTTGAAGATACTTAAATTTAGATTTCTATAGGTGTCTCTGTATTCTTGTACAGATGTCTATTGATTCATCAGGTAGGTGTAAAATTCCCTGTTCTGAAGAACAGGGTGTCTAAAGTGAAAAGGGGGGGAAGGGGGT